GAGCACTGACCATTCATCCGCGTCGACATAACCTCCAAACTGATAATCCGACAAACCGCTGGCAATGCGCCACGTGACGAAGTATCCTCTAACTGCGGTTGGCGAATGTGACGAGAAATGTAAGTGGCAGAATATGTTTTAAAAATTTAAAACAGAAGGTCTGGGAAGAATTCATGGCGTCTAATCACCTGAAAATGCTAACACAGGTGGACCATCTCGAATCCATCTCGCATGGGTGTCACACTAAAGCCCGACACGAGTAGCGTAATGTGTTATTGTTAGCCTTGTTACACAATTTTAAGGTGTTAGTACAAGGAACAAGGGGCACAAGTTATGAACTTCCTCATTATGCAGTTTTCTCCAACCTCCTGCCATTTCATCCCTCTTCGGTCCAAATATTGTCCTCAGCACCCTGTTCTCAAACACCCTCAGTCTATGTTCCTCCCTTAATGGCAGAGACCAAGTTTCACACCGGCACAGAACCACAGGCAAAATTATAGTTTTGTATATTCTAATTTTTATGTTTTTGGACAGCAGGCAAGAAGACAAAAGTTTCTGGGCCGAATGGTAGCAAGAATTACCCGAGTTCAATCTCCTCTTAATTTCCTCCTGAATCAGGTTCTGATTTGTTATCGTCGTTCCCAAATCCTCTAAGGCAAAAACATACTTAAAGGTAAAGTTGTCCCTGTGCTTAACTACTTAAGCACTAGGCCATGAAGGCGTATGTGGGAGTTTATGTATAGACTCACGTTTTCTCGACCTCGGTACTAGTTGGTGGTGAGGGGTCAGTTCACGCCCAGGCCACTTTAGCCCCCGTACCCACTGGATAGGAGGCTGGGTGAGCCTTTGAGCCGGTCTGGGCTACTACCAATCCGAACCCCGTCTCTAGTCACGGAAACACGTGGCAATACGCTTAGTAGCAAGGACTGTGATTTAAAAATAATTCAACTTACTGAGCCAGTTATGTACGTAATTCCCATCAGCAGTGAATTACGTATTACAATTATGTCATTAAACTGGTCACGTATAACTTGAAAGTGTCGCTCTGTATCCATATTCGTAACCTTCAACAAAGGATATAAATTTGTTTAGGCCTCATATAGGCACTAATCTTATTTCTCTTGTTTACTAGGTTTCATCGGGTCAGCCTCCCGCAAACCGATGTACTAGCAAAAAAAAAAAAAAGAGTACAAAGACAGACTTATGGAAGACGGAACATATATAACCTACATTCCAGTGTGTTTCATCTTTGTATCTTTGTGTGATGCACACCACGTCATATTTTTGATGGCCGAAATGAGATACCTTCCCCAATAAGTCATTATGAATCGTATTTCTATTATGTACTATTTTCAGAAACCCCACCGATGGTGTCTTCAACTTATCGCGGTGGCAGATTTTGAGTGCTCCCGAGACCTTGAGAGCTATGCCAGCGGTAGCGTAGCTACTGGTAGGGGCACCCATGCCGGATAGGTCAAGGGGTAGGAGCCAGACGAAGAGGGATAACCTGGTTCCCTAGCTTGGGGGTTGGGCGTCAGGCTAACAACCTCACGCCGTGAAAACTAAATAGATAATCAGCCTCGGATGGATGGAAGGAAATCGACGAGCAGAAATAAGTGGGCCACGACCTCTTCCGTCCACACTCTTCTCACTTCTTCACTCTACCATTCGACGTTTCATCGTCTGAATAAATGAAGAACAGAGAAGAATGGAGGTAGATTGTTCAAGAGGCCAAAGTTCGCCCTGAGCTGTAGCGCCGAGGAAGGAAGGAAGGAAGGAAAGGAAAGGACGGAAAGGAAGGAAGGAAGGACTATTTTCAGAAAACACAAGAAACAGACGCATGGGAAGTGGTGAGATCTGTCCATCCACCTTACCTCCGAAATTACTCTATGAATTTTGACGAAGTTTGGTAGTGGGACGTATGCTAAAAGTTGTCAGAAATATTTAATTGTCTGGTGTCTGTTCAGTAATACCTCTCATTAATAGAAGTCCAAATAAAATTTCGTCGATTGTGCAAAAAGCGGCTCATAGCTCCAAAAGCAGGTATATGGTATGTGACAGATATTTCCTTGTGGTACACAATTTTCGGTTTTAAAAAAAGATATGGCGGAAATGTAAAAATAAATTCTTGCAAGAATTAATTGCCCATCTGCCTTTGATACGGCACCGGTCGCATAAAACCGAAACACGTTGGTTTTAGCAAATGATTTCTAGACTTTTATTCAGGAGCAACTCGGATCGAATCTCTGCCGGAACACCGTCTATCATAACTGGGGTCTTCCGTGGTTTTCTTCAGACCCTCAAGGGAAATGCTGGGATATACCTCGATTAAGTCACACCTTCCTTCCAAATTCTTTCCGCTTCATCAGTCAAACCACTATCCGACGCTACATAGTCTCTATATTCAAATTTTTGTTAAATGACCAACAATAGAAATTATCGCGGTATTCGTAAGAACAGCATAAATTAATTTTCATTTAACAAGATACCAGGTGGGGGGATCGTAAAATGTACAAAAAACAAACTCCGTGGCCTGAAGTCCGCAAGCGATCTATACCGACCGAGCGACCGCCGCTTGTCGGCGAAGTTAGTGCCAAGCACCTGAAACCGTACAGCCCCAGGCGGCCATCTCCCACGGGTAAGAAGCATAAATAGCCAGTTGCAAACCGCCTCCTTTAAAGAGTATACCACACTTGGCACGCGGCACGCGGCACGCGCTAGCGTTGATGGTTGAGGCACTATGCTACAAGCCGAAAGGTCGTGGATTCGATTCCCGATGAATTGGATTTTTTCAACTGAACTAATCCTTCCAGCCGCAGTGTGGCTCTGGGGTCGACTCAGCCTCTAATAGAAATGAGTGTCAGAAATCTTCCTGGGGGTAAAGGGCGGTCGGCACTTAAGGCTGACAACCTTACCGCCATCTGTGAGCCGATTGTCTACATAGTGTGGGACCCTCAACGTCTCTCAACTCTATGGGTCTCCACGTCCTGTTACAGGGATGGCTTTACCTTTACCCTTTACTACACTTCACATATCCACTTCTGTATGTTATCAATACTCACGGAACAAGATACGTCAGCTGGATTCTTAACAGCAATAAAGGCATGGCCTCTGAATGGCGTCCAGTACATGCAATGCAACATGACAGTCACCCGCCATTGTGCCATTTTATGAAACATGACAGCGTCTTCTTCTGCGACTGCACATATACAGCCGTCCTCGAACTGCATTTCACGCAATAGTTCGCTGTTTGTTTGCGGAAAACTGAATTCACATGTTTTTCTTCACACACCAGGGGGTCATGCCCCACTCAGCCACTTGATGTTGATGGAGTCTCACGTAACAATGCACCTGTCTGAAATGCTAATTTAGTCCTCTTAGCGGCAATTAAACAGAAGTGGGACAAAAAATGTTATAAGGTCAGTTTGAAGATGCAATTAAGAGAACATAAGCTCACGATAGTTTAAAGAAGTCTTCAGTGGAATACTGTAATCCCGAGTTCTGAGAAAATTGTAGGCGCCAATTAGCAGCTACAATTGTATGTATCAGAGAAAGACGACATTTTCACTACGCATTTCATTAAAAATAATGACAGTGTTAGTCATGAATCATGATGATGATGATGATGATGATGGTTATGACGACGACGACATCAACAACACCACCAATAAAACTAAAGTTATCCCTATAACAGGCCATGGAGGCCCATAGGGTTGTGAGAGGTCGAGTCTCCCATATTTTCTACACAATCGGCTCACAGATGGCATTGAGGTTGTCAGCCTTATGCGCCGGCCGTCCTTTACACCCAGGAAGATTCCTGGTACTCATTTCTAGAATGATGTGAAATTCAGTACAAGAGCTAACACCTCTGCACAATTACGAAGCAGAGGATGTACTGAACAGTAGTAGTAGTAGTAGTAGTAGTAGTAGTAGTAGTAGTAGTAGTAGTAGTAGTAGTAGTAGTAGTAGTAGTAGGTAGTAGTAGCAGCAGCAGTAAAGTCACGGAATTGCTATACAACATAATAATACAACGATGCAGGGTCATCAAAATTTGCACTGCATAAAACTGCATAGAGGCTAGAGACCTGTTATGGATATCACGGAAGCTCCTGTATTTTCAAGAGATCTTTCCAGCTTCTTTTTTTTCTGTCGGTAAATATTTAGATATTTTTTAAAAAATCTGTCGTAGTTTTTTCTATCACCGCATTCTTTCCAGTTGTTTCTTTCTTGCTTTCTAAATATTATTTGCATACTCAGTAGCACTCTCAAATTTTCTGAATTTTTTTACTGTTCGGTAAAACGTATCCACAGTACGAAACACATTTCCGCTGACATCAAACACCTGTCGTCAGTTCTTGTTTTTCATGACTCATTATAATCAAATAATGTTGGCTCAGTAGCTAACTTTCAGATCTGTGTTGCTGAACGCCCAGAAACTTGTGCCGGTATAGAGATCTGATCTTTAATCGAAAATAACGGCATACAAGGGTCTGTCCAGAGCTTGAAAGTAACGATCTGGACAACCAGTCTACCTCCACCAACCTGCTGATGGCACTTATAAATTTTTTCAATGTACAAGTACAGGGTGATTCTAAATTACTGTCGGAGTTTTCGTGGCCTATAATTGTCAAACCGAAAAGAAAAGAAAAAAATAAAACTTATTATGGAATATGATAATGTAATTAAAAAGATTTAATACTTTACAGAATCAATATTGCAAAATAATAAACAATTCAAATGTGCTCTAAATAAAACTTTTTGAGTTACATTTCTATGTTCTCCAAGCAGTTACATTTTGTTTTTTCCAGTCTGAAAATATAGGATACGGAAACTCCGACAATAATTTAGAATCATATTCTATAATATAAGTAACGGAACGAATGATTTAAACTAATTGGTTTGCAGACAAATATAGACAAAGACACTCATATATAGGCGTGCCAGGGTATATAGCTTTTCCGTAATACTGACAAAACTGAAATATATTAAAAAGAACTCACATACAAAGAGAGGCATCAGTGGAAGGCGAATGGTGCAACAAGAAAGTTGCCACAAAGAGACACTATTTCCTCCTCCTGAATCTTGTTGCCCATGATCCGCGTGGTCAATCCAAATCTTGACTCTGTGTTCAAGTCGAAAGACAGCAATAAGAACGTCTTCGTTAGCCGCCCCGATACTTGCTGAAAATAGATACAATATAAGCTATACCATTCGTTACCGTGGCAACAGCAGCGTTAGTATAGGCATTTTTTACAAAGCAAAAGAAAAAGGTGGCCGTATATTGAAGGTCATATCTGTCTGTATGCTTAATCCGACAGATATTCTCAAAATTCTGCAAGCAAGGTTTTCACTTAGAATTGGCGATAAATTCAAATTATTCAGTTTTTAACACCCGTGTGGAGTCGGGATGGAATAGTTCCAGCGTAACCCTACGAGACGGAACCCAGTGCCTGGGAGTATAACTGCGCCACCCTGTTCCTGAGGGATATAAATACGGAGGCCTGGCCCTCCAAGTTGGGGGAGTCTTGAAGCTGAAAAAGTAAAATATGATCATGAGTCCCGCGGGACTTAAACTCGAGAATGACTGCACTGGCGAGGACCAGCAACAACTGTAAAAGGACTATATCGGCAAGTGTTCGTTTGAACAAAGAAAATACGGGTAGTAAGTCTCAAGGGGCTTGGTGTCAAGACGAACTGATTGGCGGTAAGCCGCCAGTCGTAAAGTGACTCTGACTCTGACTCTGATTCTGATTCAGTTTTCAAAGTGTTAACGTTGTTTGCTCTTTGTTTTATTTCAGTTTGTAAAGAGTTAACGTGCCGGTCACGGTAGCTGAGCGGTCTAAGGCATGTATTGTCTTCGCTCGCTCGGAAGCCGGAATCGTGGGTTCGAATCCCACTCAGGGCATGGATGTTTAGTTTGTGTGTGTGTTTTTCTGTCTTTGTGTACAGGTAGAGGCCTTGCGACGCGCTGATCACCCACCCAAGGAGTCCTAACGAACGTGTAAGATCTAGAAAAACCGAAGTGAACGGAGAAGTTCATGGAGGTAGGCCTAGGCCCACTGGGGCTGTAGTGCCAAGAAAAAAAAAGGAGTTAACGTTGTTTGCTCTTTGTTCTCATCAGTTTCTAAAGAGTTAAATAACATCGCAATTACGAAACTAAACAACACTCAGATGTACACTTTTACTAAAATGGGACATATAGGCATATAACTACGTCCCATGTTTTCTTTGCAAAAAAAACCTACCAACAAAGCACTAGTCAACACTTCATATGAGGCACAGGTAAAAACTTAACACATCCCAGGAGATGGAGGAACTATGTAAAATACCACAGCCTCCTCTCGCAATTTACTTACTTACTTACTTATTTATGGAGCTGAGTCCTTCTTGAGGAGAAACCAAATCTGCAGCTACTCAAGAATTTCCCAGCATTTTATGGAACCCGAAGGTTCATTACCGTGTTCACAAGAGCCCTCCACTAGTCCCTATCCTGAGCCAGATCAATCCAATCCATACCATCCCATCCTATCTCTCTAAGATCCATTTTAATATTATTCACCCACCTACGCCTTGGTCTTGCCATTGGTCTCTTTACTTCTGGCTTTCCCACCAATATCCTATACGAATTTCTCGTCTCCCCCATTCGTGCTACATGCCCTGCCCACCTCATCCTCCTTGACTTCATCATTCTACTTATACTTGGCCTCTCTCAATTTAGATAGTACAGTTTTAAATAATACATGTAAGCCGCCTCCGATTATTGCACGAGTCTCTGAAGATGGTCACATGGAACCGAAAGAAATAAATCGATTTTGTTGACTCAACATTTTGATGGCTGGCTTGTTCTTAACAGTTAATATAAATTGCAACTGACGCGATGTCTCATTATAAGATAACCATCAGCTATTCTGTGGGGTCCGTTACAAAGAGCAAACCTCACTACATTGCCTTGAATAGGTGCCTTCTACCCTTTCACCTGCGGACAGAAACATATCCAGTTTTCGAAATGTTGTGTTCTTTAGAACAGGCCAGACAGCGCAGTTGGCGCCTCACATCCGTATAATCCAAGGTGCGAGATGCTCGGATCCTCAGTGTATCCTGACCGTAATACATCTGCATCAGCAGTACAGATGTAGACTGATTTCTAAAAAGACATACATCTTTACGTCCTTGTTAATAAATTTGTACCATATGGCTCCAAGTATAATTAGAATGATCAAGTCAAGGAGGATGATGTGGACTGGGCAGGTAGCACGAATGGGGGGATACCAGGAATGCATATAAGATTTTGGTGGGACAGCCAGAAGGAAAGAGACAACATCGAAGACCAAGGCGTAGGTGGGTAGACAATATTAAAATGGATTTTAGAGAGACAGGATGGTATGGTATGGATTAGATTGATCTGGCTCAGGATAGGGACGAGTGAAGGGCTCTTCTGAACACGGTAATGAACCTTCTGGTTCCATAAAATGTTGGGAAATTCTTGAGTAGCTGCAGAATTGGCGGCTCCTCCAGAAGGGCTCAGCTCCATGAGTAAGTAAGTAATTAATGGCTGACTTTTATGAAATTTGATAAGGAAATTGGCCCAAATAAAATATTTCCACACAAATAAGATCAGTTAAACTGCAGCCTGAGTTCAGCCTTGGCCAACAAAGTGCAAGGCAAGGGTTTTCCATTTTCTCCACAGCTTCCAGACCGACATTTTGGCCCGTTTAGCTTCCTAATCAACAGATAAACAGAACTCAATTTTGTTGACTAAATCGACCGGAGCTTGAAGTAGCCAGTCACTTTTATCTAGTAACAAGATTTGGAATGTGTGGAGGTGTACCTCCACTATCGCATGTCTTCATGGTGTGGCGTTTCATTAAGCACAGGGACACCTTTACTTTTACCTCTTTTTTTGCGATAATTTATATGAGTATGTATCCTTCAGTGACAGACCTCACTAGAACTTGGCCTCGCATTGTCTTGCACCACGCCACAGCTATATCTCAACCCTTCTCTTAGCGACTAGCGGGCTAAAACTGATCAGACAGTCGATACAGAACTCAACAACCATCAGATGTAACGAAAATACGGCTGAAGCATGGCTTTATAATTGTTTACTAATTAGAAACTGGTTGCACTAGAAGTACTTTAGTGTTACACTCTTTAAGACCCGGTGGTTGCTATATATACCACCCTCTTTGATTTAATAAAACTGCATTCTACGCAGAGGGTGTATTTATGTATTTCGTATGGTTCTCACAATAAAGAGATATCCGTTCTTTAAACTCGTGCCCATATTTTACTGTCTCAGATTCGAGACTTCCCTTTTCGTCTCAAATCTGGTCTGTTCTGACCTCCCTTCATAGCTTCGGAAGAACCAAACAGAGATCACAGCCTTCAAGGGTTTCAGTAGTGCAAGAAATCGTTACCATGGACATGCCTTTGTCACAACTCCATTGTATCGGAAACCATTGTAATTTCCATGGTAACCAATTCTGCTTAGTGAATTGTTGTCCCAGAGATGCATACTCGGTGTTATAAATTGTATTTGGAACGCGTTTAATGAACCGTTACCTAGCAATAATCGTCTTTTCTGGCTTCACTACTTCGACTTTCAGGCGTCAGGTTACAGTATTTCGAAGAGATCACCTTGCTGTCTGTGTGCGTGTGTCTGTACCTATATGTTTCTTAACACTTCACCCAAAGCAACAACGTTTTAATGCCTGAAACGATCTTCATGAAACTTCGTACGTAATCATGACGCCTGAGGCCATCTCCACGACAGTTTTATAAATCCCTCCCATCAGTAATACCAACACTACAGTCTCTGAAATTATTGAATAACCGCAACACTACTTGAATGCCTGATTCGGTCAATATGAAACGCGGTACGTGTATCCTGCTACCTCAGGCCAAATCAGTGCGTACCTCATGGATCTTTTTTTTCCCTTGACACTACAGCCCCAGTGGGCCTAGGCCTACCTCCATGAACTCCGTTCACTTCGGTTTTTCTCGATCTTACACATACGGTAGGACTCCTTGGGCGAGTGATCAGCTCGTCGCAAGGCCTCTACCTGTAAACAAACACAGAAAAACGCATACAAACATCCATGCCCTGAGTGAGATTCGAACCCACGATCCCGGCTTCAGAGCGAGAGAAGACAGTGCATGCCTTAGACCGCTCGGTTACCGTAACCGGCACCTCATGGATCTTACCCATCAGTAATACCAACACTACAGCCTCACAAACTGTCCAAGTAATAATATTAATATTACCTGAATGCCTAAACCGATCGTTATGAATCTTGGTATACAAACCATATTACATAAGGCACTTTCAACAGCGTACCTCATAAATATCGTCTCTCGGTAGTTAAAAAAAGTAACATCTGGTCAAATTCTCGATGTGGAAGCCATAAGATTATCTTACTTAAACACTCATTTGATAAATATACTACCAATCACAATCTTTTAATTAACCTATTTATATACACCGTGAAAAATTAAGCCACATAGATATAGTAAATATGAATTTACACTTTCGGACCACTGAAAATGATGTCTTCACGAATGCATATCATTTAATTAAATGTTTACGTAACCGTGTACATTGTAATACTTGTTACCATGGGATTAGTGACAACTGATTAACACAGAATGCGACGTGGCCCTACAGAAGGCTGTGAAATTGTTAAGGAGAGGCAAGAGCGCATGGCAGTCACTTCAGGATCTGGTGGTATGATACCGAAACACCAGTTGTGGCAACTACTTATCATTTTTAATTTTAATATCACATGTGCAAATCAGGTTCGATAAAATTCGTGTTTATAGAGCTGCTTTATTGACTTTCCAAGTTTCTCTTTATATTTGTATGAAATACTCAAACTGTAGTGAAAGGAAAGCAGTCCATTAGTTTTTCCCAGTACGTCTTGTTGTATGGGGGGGGCACGTTTTTTTTTTAATAAAAAAAAAAGTCCGCGCCATAGCTCAAGAGGTTAGTCGCTGGCTTCCCACCGCGGCGGCTCTGGTTCGATCCCGAGTCTGGTCAAGTGGGATTTGTGATGGACAAAGTGGCGCTGGGCAGGGTTTCTCCGAGTACTTCGGTTTCCCCTGCCAATCTTCATTCCACCAATTGCTTCACAATCACCCTCATCTATCATCTGGGGTTGGTACAATAGGCCAGAAGTGGCCG